TCTTCACATATGTTGCTCATAAAAGGCAAGTTTATCATGTGCCAGCCATTACCAAGGACCTCACTGACAGCTGCGTTTCTTCAGCAGAAGACTAATGACAGCAGTATTGAGATAATCAGGAAAAATGTAAGCCACAGGAACATATTAGTGTTTACAGGATTATACCCGTTTGCCCCATGAGTACCAAGCGCAGAACTAGAGTGGATCTCAGATGGATTTTGGGACACATGTCTCCATCCAAAAGTTTTTTTCACAAATCATCAGTTTGATACAAACAGTGGATTGGATCATATTTAGAATGCAAGTCCATGAACTTCCCTGTACACCTTTGGCTAACAGAGACCTCGCAGCACAATCGTTCTTACATTTCTCTCCAGTCTTTTTTTCCCTTTCAAAAATCACAATACATTCATTTCTATATATTGTTCTCAAACTGTATCTCAGTGCATTTACATTTAATAAAAAACTTTTGATATGTATGTGTTTACTGTTTATGTTCTGATTTATTTATAATGTATGTGCAATGCCTTGTTGACATGCTGTGACAAACCAATTTCCCAAATTGAAATCAATCAAGTAAATCCAATCTCAATCTAGATCTATTCTAATCGACTTTTATTTATTGTTTGACTTTGCAAACTGTAATTTAGGCCTTCAATATTGTTTTATTTGTCAGATAGTCTACATATTTTCATATTCACAGTCAACTCTTATATTTACACTCTTTTAGTTCTGTGTTATCTTCTATTTTGAGATGTCTTATTGTATGATTGTTTACTTTTTACTCTTTTTTTTGTTCTTGTAATCATGTGCAATACTTTGTTTTACATGCTGCTCCAACGAAACATTTTCCCAATGTGGGATTAATAAAATACATCTATTCTTATTTTATACCAAAGCTCTGTCCCCCAGTTGCAGTTCCAACAGCGGCCACAGAGGGGCTCCAGAGTCTGTGCTACAGCTCACAGTGACTTTCTGATCATGGAATACATAGGATCCCATGGATAACTATCTAGCCTCATAGTTGTTTTGTCCATTTTCATGCTTATTTGGGCTTTGTATAAGATACAGTTTAGACATCCCGTTTGACTCCTTCTACTGCTTACCAGCCCCTTCACAAACAATACACTGTATCATTGTACACAGTACTATTAAAGTTACAACACAATATCCTGTGAGTTGGTGCTAGTAGGTACTGTGCACACACATATATTGTGTTTGTCTGTTATAATATTGATATATGTATACAATTACATTTGTGGTTCATATGCAGGGATGATATGGTTGATTGTTTGGAAAGAGAAAGCTATGTTACCTAGACAAGATTTGAAGCTTGAAAACCTCCATGGTTTTAACAATAAAAAAACTTAGGAGGTTTTAAAGTGCTATATAAATAAAGTTGGATTGGATTGTTGTCACACTTTGTTTACCATTCTGATTAACCCTTAGATGCATAAGTGGGTCTTTTTGGACCCGGTGAGGTGGTTTTCTTGAAGTATCTTTGTAATACATTTTTTTTATCATTTCGTATTCCAGCTATTCCTCAAAAAACATGTTTTGGATATCATGCCATTCACATTTTAAATTGACATTTTAAGAAATTGTAGTTTTTGTATTACTACCCCAAGCTTCCATAAGTGGGTCAAAAATGACCCGCATGTATTTTCTATGGAACCTTTGATTCTTATCACCTGTGGCTGTCAGGAATACATTCACTAGACCACACAGACGACATCACAAGTGACACCTCTCAGGAAGATTATTTTACACAGCAATATCTGATACCTGTCAGTATAATAATAATAATAATACATTATATTTGTATAGGGCATTTCAAGGACTCAAAATCGCTTTACAATATAAGGGGAGGTTAGGGTGGGGGGTATAGGACTATCAAACTTGATCAACCGGCATGGATTGATGGGGGGTGGGCTATGAGTAGACAAGAGGAGAAGAGATGAGTATTGAAAAGGGACTGGAATACTGTGAGGGTCTCAGAATAGCGGGGATCTTTGGGACAATATGTTCAAAACGTTTTATTTCAAAATGTAAAAAAAATGTCTAAAATTATAAATAGTGAAAAATTAAATATAAAATATTTCTAGTGTGAACCAAAATATAATACTAAATATTATACAAGTGTTTTTCTTAACCAAAATGGCATAAAAACACATATTATTCTAATACGGGTCCTTTTTGACCCACTTATGGAAGAGTGTAGGGTCCAGTCACTCGTGCATCTAAGGGTTAATGCAAAATAGCCAGTTCCGAGATCAAACCAGCAGCCTTTAAGCTCACATGCTCAAAGTAAGGATAAGAGCACACAGATATAAAGGTTTATAAAAGAGATTTAAGGAATACAAATAGTTGATGACATACACAGTTTCCCAATCCCCAATTAAAAAGCACAATGATACCAACTGGACCATCTGCTGAAGAACTGGCAGTGATAGAAGAATTATCAGTTGCAATAGAAAAATGAAAGTATTTCCTATATTTAAAAAAAAAGAGGAATTTGTGGATGTGGGTGTTTATGGCCCAAACATCTCACATTTTTTATTAATTTACCATCAGGAGAACTCTGCTGACTCCAAACAATGACCTTATTTTCATCGCCTTCAAATCCCTTCACCCCTTTGCTAACTGACAGACAGAACAGCATGTGACACCCTCAGTCCTTAGACCCTTGAGGCACAAAAGGAAAAACACTCCAAAGAAACCCCAGGTTATGGTTTTATGTGGCGCTAAATATAACATTATGGAGCCAAATATCCCAGTAACCGATCATTCACCAATGTCTTCTTGGGTCTTCCACATCCACACACCCAGATGCTGTTTAAAATGGTCCACAGTAGGTTTCATATTTGCTATTTTTTTGACAGGAGGACAGACGGTAAGAACGGATGACCACAGCCCTTCCTGAAGTATAGTCATGCATGCAGTCATAAAATGTCTTAACCCTCCTATTGTCTTCGTCCCCCCCCCCCCCCCCCCCCCCTTACTTTGATGTTCACGGTCAAATTTGTCCGGTCCTGTTTTAACTGAGATATTACATTAACCCAAAAACCATTAATCATCTCCAAATTTCATTTAACACCCTTTCAAACTGTAAATATTGTATCAGACTACTGGTATACATGAAGAACTGCAGTAAAGAACAGACACTGAACATGTATTGCGTGTGCCAGGTGTGATCCATGTGGGGGGATGGGCACATAAGAGCGGGAAATGTGTCAAATTGTTTTGTCTGTGTGTGTGTGTGTGTTTGTGAGTGCCAGCAGGTGTGATTCACATGGGGGGATGTGGGTGTTACAAAGTTGACTAAATCATCCAAAATTCAATGGAAGTGGTGATCAGCAATGTTATATGTTCAAATGTCTTCTGTGAAGGATATCATAAAGCCTTAATGCAATCGAATGTAAAAAAAAAAAGTTATGATTGATGAAAGTAGTAAATCGGTCAGATTTGACCCAAAGACAACAGGAGGGTTTTAAAGGGCTATGTTTTGAGGTCGAATTTCATACTGTACTCCAATTGGTCCTTGGGCAAAAGAATGCTGTCGGTTCTTTGACGGACATATTGATTCCACTATACTGTATGTCCGTCTGTAAAAAAGATTACAGGATTGATTTACCTTTTGTACTATAAAGATATGTATCACATACGCAACATGTATCTAGTAGGTTGTACTTATTGTTTCTTAACATTTTGTGGTGATGTCTAAGACACTTTCCACAATCTAGACAATAAGGTTCCTAGCTAAACCAACAAACCAACTAATTATCTAATGAATTCGGAGGGGCTCTCTGTGGGAGTTGCTCTCTCTGCCTGGATGTAATCAAGCCTTAAGCCAAAGTAAAAGAGAGCTCTGGTTGATGTTGCATCTCTCTGCATGTAAACTGGCTTAGAATCGAGGTTTACCACAAAGCTGTGAATAATGATTTGGAAATATCTTTTATTTAGAAAAAAACGATATTGATTTAAAAATCAGTTGAAAATAAGCTGTGCTCAACTGTACCTTGGATGTTATTATCAGTATTAATTAACATGACTAGGTTTAAAGGAAAGCTAGTCATGTATGTCAATAGTTATGTGATGGAGTACATATTTTGATCACACAATTCCTTGAATGTCAAAATGTGTTTACTTTTTGAAAAATAAATAAAACACAATTCCTCAGTAGGCTAGCCTTCTTTAATTTTCCTTGAAAGGATGTCTGAGTTCATAACAAGGTTAGGTTCCTGTTTTGTGAGTTCACATGCTTTCTGTGTGTGCGCCAGAGTTTCATCCCACAGGATGTCTCCAAATAGTTTTCCAGTAGGATATGAAAGGGAGTGTCTGTGTTTATGTGGTAGCTCTGTGAGGCTTGAAGACATGGCCAGGGTGCCCCGGGGCATCATGGGACTATCTGCCACCCCTTCAACCCTGACTAAGTAATACGTCCCGCCTGAGATTTCTAAAGAGCAATATATTACAACAAGAGTCCCATATATACCCCGTCCTTCTCATTTAACATGACTGCATCACCACTTGAAACAAGCAGTGCGCTTTACTCTTTGTATCAAGTTAGCTCAAATATAATAAGACTAATGCCGGAGCGTATTCAATGTTACTTTCAGAATAAAACACTTGATGTGAAAATATGTTGTAAATTGAGTTGTATTTCTTGTTCTTGACAACATTGTGTCTTTATGATGAAAGCGCAGAACGTTGTTGATGGTAACTACAGCTATCTGACCTTTACCTTCTGATGTGACAGAATACGATTTACATATTCCAGATAGCCTGTAAGTTTTGCTAAATGTATTTCATAATGTCCTCTCGGTCAGTCCTGTAAATACAGACTATGAATGCTTGAAATTAAAACAGTATCTTGTTACGAATAACTACCGTAACTCATTACAATGTTCTGTGTATCAGGCTTATTCTCACTATTGATGAGAGGCTTTTATTGTGAAGGTCCCAATCGGAAGTGCTGCTTCTCACTGCCGCCAGCTTCACACACTGCTCTGGTAGGAGTGACTCGTTGACTGCGGCGACCGCAATTTCGCCAACATGGGAGCCGCTTTGGGATTTATTCTTAACGGATTTTAAGAACCGTCGCGAAAATGGCAGAGAGGTGAGTCCAACAACACACATGCTGTCATTTTCTCGCGCTGGTTGTTTTATTCGAAGCCTCCTCTCCTCTCAGAGGGAGGCGGCGAGGCTAACAGCGGTTCGGTGAGTCGCTCTGCAGAAGCGGCTGTTAGCTAGCTCGCCACTTATTCGCTCACACGATTTAATTTTTTTTTATTGTGTGAAACATATCTATGAATTAAGGCTTGTTTTTTTGCCGCTCATTTGTATCGTTGGTTGTTGGTTCGGACGTTTTCCTTTGGATATGAGTGGAGGGGGGAGGCTGTGCTCGGAGGCTGTGCTCGGCTGGCGGATGATGCTGTTGCACCTGTCGGGCTGAATCCCGTCTCTTTGCTGGAATGCAGCTAACCTGCTCATGTAGCGGGATGCTAGCAGCAGAGCCACCTCACCGTGCCGTCATGAGGGTGTGCTGAGGCGGGCCAGGTTACCCCATCCTGCCTCGCAGCATCCCTCCTCTGATGGATGCAGGCGCCTCCCATGAGAGGAGAAGTGTGGCGCCGCTCCATCCATCTAACACCATCTTGTTCAGTCTTGAGTTGTCAATATAAAGACATATCCTGGGTTCACTGTCTGCTTGCTATCAAATTCATGAGTGTCATAGCCTCACAAGCAATTTTGAATCAGTACTTCCCTGTGTATAGTCGTCCACATAATAATACAGTAAAATACATTAATAATGATCACTGTGGTACATTATTTTAAATGCTTTCTCCACAAAATGTCACAATGGTGCTCATTCAAAGACCAATGTCAAATTAACTGGATTAAGAGTTGCTTGGTTAAATTGCTCCTCTTTGTGAGAATGAATTAATAACCAATTTCCCATGTTGCCTAATGCCTACAGTGAAAATCACTCACAGAACTAACTCTATCTCCTCAACCCTGTTTTCTGTAGCATCACAAAGCATCAGATAGGAAAATGTTCAATTTCTCTTATATGTATTACCCCTAAAGTGAAGGGCGTGGGCTGCATCTTCAATATAGACAATGGCAGTTTCTCCCTGGCAGCAAGCAAGCTCGTAATCCTGAGTTAATAATTGATGGCTGTTAAATTTGTGTTGCAAGGGGTCAATGGGCCTAATGTAAATCACTGCAGGTCTGCCCTGTGGGCTTTGGAGCGTAACACGAGTCCTGGCACGTTTGTCATCACACAGATCAGAGGATGACTTCATTCAACCTATCCATCTGGTCAAAATGCAGCAGCATATTTCACCCAAGTGCATACTGTAGTGTAGGCTAACAATTGATGAGGGATGACATTGGATTTGCTTCTGTGATCAAATGTTGTTGTGTTAGATTGTATCAGCTTGTTGAGATAATGGCTCCTGAATGCATCTCAGGACACCATTTCAATGACAAAATGGAAGCACTAATGTGTTTTGCATAATCAAGGAGGAGAGCTTCAGACCAGACAGCTCAAATGCTTCTTTCAATTAGGTTATCAATTGGTGTCACTCAGACTCAAGAGAAAGTGAACTTCACAGGAAGAGCAGCCACTTTTTCAGGCCAGTCAGTTTAACCTAAGCCCCGAGAGAAGTGCTTTCATAATGGCCAAATGCCAGCACTACAAAATCACTTTTTCCCATTTACTTACTTTACTTACTTTTTTAGGTAAATTGACATCACAGTCTAAACACTTGAATATCCCTTGATTAAATTAGGTTGTAAAAGTTCTAAAATGAGCTAAAAGCTGAATCCAGAGTTATTTTCCCTCCATTCATTTGACTGAGCTGAGACCAGACGTGACGGAGCAGATTGGAGGATGATCTGTAAAATGGCCAAAAAAGGTACATACAGTCAGGCCTTTTTGGCTTCATGTGCCACTGAACAACTTTCATTGGAATGAACAAGGCTCTGTCTCTAAGGCTGTTTCCAGTTCTCTGTATCCATGGTTCAGACCGGTCGGTGTAACCAAAGCCCCACAGACATGTGCCGCGCATTGAAGCACATTTTTGTAATAGCCAAAAGGTGGTACTACATTTCTGTGTCATTCAGTGACATCATTGCACCCAAAACAACTTTTTTCCGTTTGACTTACATTGGGAAAGAGACGTCTGTAAATCAGTGGATATTAGTTTTTAGGTAAATTGACTTCACAGTCTGAACACATGAGCAGCCCTGTTTAAATGTGTCCTACAAGTTGTACAATTCTCTATTAATTGAATCCAGAGATATTTCCTTGTCCATTCATTTGACTTAGCTGAGACACTATCGTTACAGAACCGAGTGGAGGCAGGGCTTAAGGGAAATCAAAAGGATCATGCTCTATGTGCCCAATGGATGCGGGGAAATATAATGAAATCCAGGTATTTTCGTACTCGAGAGTCAGATCGTTTTTGCTTCATGAGTCACTAAGCAACTTTTATAGGACGATCAGGGCCCCGCCTCCAACGCTTTATCCAGTTCTCTTCATTCATCCACCGTGCTCCTGTGTTGTTTGAGCTTGGGGGATAGTTTGTATTATTGTTGTGTTGACTGGCATGGTTATTCCAGATAAAGGTCTTGGTTAAAAAGTGAATAGATACATCAGATTTTAAATCATTTATCAATCAACATTTCCTAGTTTCCGCATCAACAAAGGGCGTTTCTCAGTTTTACTGTAAACTCCGGTTTTTTCTCTTTTGGGTTCTATTTTGTTTGTTCCTCTCAACACATACAGCCTATTATAAAAGCGGCAAGAAGAACTATCAGTGTGTTTAACGTAACTATATGTTTCTTTGTTTAAAGGGATGCTGATTACTTTTTGTACTTATTAGTGAATACATTTATTTTCTGACAGCATAGTTTATCTCCAAAGTTATTGCTTTTGTGTTGGTCTCACACACACATTACAACTTAGTGTGACATTTCATAACTTCTGGTGAGGCCGTTTTTATTTCATGGTCATTTTCCAAATTGCCTTTTCAACAACCTTTAGAGACTTTTGTTTGCACACAAGTTAGAAGTATATGCGTTTTAAATAGATGTAGTATTTTAATGTTAATATCCTAATTGCAGCTGCTGTCTAATCTCACCATGTGTTGTGGTTGCATTAAACTCCACTCTGCTAGGCTTCTGTGAAAGGAGAAATCATCTGCACTTCTTCAGTGATTTTGTCAGCATGATTTCCTAAACAAGGCCACTAATGATTTGCTCTCAAAAGAATGAATTCTCTTTGATACTCTTTGTGATTGCAGTAGAAATATGTGGACCTTTTTCCACAAGGCTAAACGAAATACTGAAGTCAGTAAATCACACAATGCGAGGTTGATCCGCTGCTGATGCGTTTTACATTTTGGTACTGTTCCTAATTCCTTTAATGGTCACTGTTGAAGTACTTGATCCTGAAAAATGTTGTTGACATACAGCAACATCTGTCACACATGGTCACTGCACGTGTGTCCATGTCTGGCAGCCAGCTTGACATTAGATCCAGCACAAGGGTGGGGCACCAAGCGTATATATGTGTTGTGCCGGCAGCATGTGGTTGAAATATTCATATTGCCGTGCTGCTGCCATATCTGTCACGTATACTTGGGTTGTCGCTGGCATCTGGGGGTCGCTGAACAAAAATGTATTCCTCATCAGTACTTTGGCAAAACACTGGTGTTCTAATTCAGCCCTGTTGTTTGTGACTAGCTCAGGACCGTTTCTTAGAGAAATTGACAATGGGATATTGTAGTTAGTTGTTTCATTTGAGAATACAATTCAATACAAAAAAGTGAGAATTAAGAATATGGAATAAAGGTATACAAATATGATATGATAAGATATTATATAAACATAACAATTTGAAGTAAACATGTCCAATAAAAGATAAAATAAAATAAGTAAAAGCTCAAACCAATACTGTCTATATGCAGTATGAAGGTCAGAGATAGGACCAATAACTGATGTCTGGCTTCTTCTTACTGAACTTCACTCAGTATTTAGAAACATATCATTAATTTATTGAACATTTTAGATCCAGACATTTCCGGTGAGATACTAATGACTTTATACAAAGACTTTACTGTTACCCTTTCTGCTCTGGATACAACATTTAGCCTTTTTATATTTAAAAAGGCTCCACAAGATAGTGACACCACTAACAGGACCAGGAAGTGAAGTCCAGTCACCTGTCGCAACATCCAGCTGTCACTCAAAGAGGCCATGTCCTAAATGATGCAAAACTTAAAGCCTTTACACACGGGTGACTTATATAAAAATGTACCCGAATGGAGAAATGAGCTATCATCATTTTGGACTCCTCTGCAATTTTCCTTCGATTTAATTTCTGCATATCTGTTTTATGTGTGTGGGTGTACATGTTGATCTAGGCATTGGACATCCATATGTGTAAATGCTGTTGAAAAAGCTTATCAGCACACACGGCTGTTGGCTTATTAAAATGTTGACATGCACCTCAGGGTTGTTGTGTTTTGCTCCCCTGGGCTCCATCTTTGTCCCACTCCGCCTTCCTCATTACCCCACATGAGAGAAGCAACAAAGTGTTCAGCTCCTATTGATGTTGTGACATGAAAAGACAGCAGTTTGACAAGGCTGCAGTCTGAGCTGTTCATTTTTCATCCTTGTGATGAGTGGGCAGAGTGGTAGGAAGTAGAAGCATCAGGCAGACACATGTCACTGTATCCCGAAATGCTGTGTATGGATCAATAGAGACCTCAGAGAATGGTGTAGGACTTAGACCTACAACTAGGTCTGTCGTGATAACCAATAAATTATAATAAAAAATGGACTCGATAGCTTTTCTGAGCTCGATAAATTGCCGTTTACATGCGTGTTTGTTTACATAAGGATGTGACCAGAATTTTAGCCAGGAGTGCTGTGAGGGGCGGGGCTCACACACAGTCCATGACAAAGCCAGGTCAGGACACTCCGTGTGCAACAGTGTAGCAGCCAAATTAATAATATAGAGACAAGCAGGAGGCAACGTGTGACTTACTCGAGGGGAATTTAAAGTTAAATGGAAGTGGTTGCAAAACCTAATACCACATCTCCGGT